TTGAGCCATTGACCACAACTCTTTTAGTGTGGCTATGTAGCCAACAAATTATATAAGCACAACCATATAAAAGAAATTAGCAACAATTCTTACAGCATTGTTTTGACTGTGGAGGATAACTGACTGTGTTCCTGCTAGTCCAGGGTGAAACTGTAGAGAATTGTGCTGTGTTTTGCCCAATATTCTTCAAGATACAGAAGAAAGCCAGTTGCTCCACTTCCTTTTTCCAAAGTCTTTTTTTAACAGTGACCAATATGGTACCTGTCTCATTTATAGTTTTAAATACTACGGGTATGTTTTTACCAAATACAGGTGGATTTCCTCTTAAGCAGAATTTGTCTTAGTATCATTGAAGATGCTGCTGAAAGGAGCATTTCATCAGATGCTTCTCAGATGAACTTCTACATCACTGTTTAACTTTTGTTTTTTTAAAAATGTCTTTTTATGAAACTGAACAGTTATGAAATTTAGAATGCAAATGAAAGTGATACCTTAGGGACATTCCCAACACTGTTTCTCATATGCTCTTTGGTGACTGAAGGCAATGTTACAAGATATTTTATGTCTGAAGGAGCTTGTTTAATTTTCAAGGAAATGGCTTGTGTTTAGTCTAGCTTGTGTTGTGTGTGTAGTTTTCCTCATCTCTTATTTATATAGTATTTCAGTTCACTTGCTCAAAGCACTTGTTTATTTTCTGCCTCCAGAGGATGCTCTTGTTTTAGCAGGCAAAACATTTGACATAATGAAGAAGTAAATGCTGTGCTGGTAGACGATGACAGCCAAATCTTTTGTAGCCCATTATCATCTCTGTGGGTTTAGTTTACAGCCTAGAGCTGTTGGAAGGTTGCAACAGTGGACATACTTTATAAACAGAAGGAAGGCTGAATACTTCAGAATTACGATGTACTCACATAAAAGGCATCATTTTAACTCTATTAATGTTAAAAATAGATCAGTCTTTTAGTAGATTAATTTTCTTACATTTAGATTCTGTCTTAGGCAGAATGGTTTTTGTCCCATTCATTATTTTAGCCAGGTTGTTAGGCCTTGTCTGCTCAGTTAAATGTATTTGTTTTACAAGTTCTGTTAGGCATTTTATTTTTAGCTACCTTCATCAAGTGGGTTTAAACCTAAGTTATGAGTTAGCTTGTCGTAAAGGGAGGTTGTATATTTATTCATATTTCTGTTTCTTTTGAGAGAGTGAACTCTGCCGTTTGATGATTTTTTAATGGAATTTTTTAAATCTTTATTGATATGAATTTCTGGCTGTTCAGGGCTCTGCAACAGCTGTCACCAACATTGTTCTAAATATTGTCTATCAATTTTATTAGCAAATTAAAGAGGTTACAAATTAAATGCATTTGTGTGAATTGCAGCTGTAATGTGACAGAAATTTAAGAAAATAACACATTGCTTTGTTGTCTCAGAAGTAAAAGACTAAGATCATAAGTAAACCAGCTAATTTCACTGTCTTGAAGTTATATTGGCTTAGTATTGGAGAGTAATGTTTCTGTACACAGTAACAAGCAGTACTTCCAAGCAAGCCATTTCTTTGGAAAGTGAAGTAATTTCATCCTTATTATTCTTGTGCAACTTTAGGAGCAGGGAACCATCGGTATTTTATGGGATACCTGTTCTTCCTGCTTTTTATGATCTGCTGGATGATTTATGGATGTATCTCTTGTGAGTAAATGTGGTTTTTTGGCTTTTTTTTAATTGCTTATAAATACTTTGTTTATTTCGTGATGTGGATTTTTACAAATTTCTGCTTTATCTGAGTTTTGGGTATTTTTATTCTGGAATTGAACTGCATATTAATAATTGACTGTGTTGGGTATTGGATGATGTTTTTCTTGTCCTAGATTTTTTTCTTCATCACAGCCAAGTATGTGCGTATGTCATGTATTCAAGGAGTTGGGAAAGGAAGAGAGAGCAAGTAAAAATCTTTTGGCACATTGTCATTTTCTTATTTAAGACATTCTAATGTGGGCATTATGTTGATGTACAGTAAACTTATCTTAAATCTTCTGTATGGTTTTTGACATTTTCTTTTTTCTCTAGACTGGGGTTTCCACTGTGAGACAAGTTATGCAAAGGATGGATTTTGGACCTATATTACACAGATTGCTACCTGTTCTCCGTGGATGTTTTGGATGTTTCTAAACAGTGTTTTTCACTTCATGTGGGTGGCTGTGTTACTTATGTGTCAGATGTATCAGGTATGGAAGAGCCCTTAATATGTAATGCTGAGTCTTGGGAGTGACATAAAAATATCTGATAGTTCTGTTATTTAGTGTTCATTATGCCAGACCAAGTGTTCAGTCTCTCAGCCATGCTGGAGGAGGCAGGCATCTGTTGTCTGGATATTAGGCATCATTCACTTGTCATTCACTTATGCTTTTTTTTTGTTTGTTTTACAAGAGGTTAAAATACCTACCTCCCACTTTCCGTTCTCAGAATGACAAAAAGGCAAAACAGACCAGAGAAAGGCAATAAAGACTAACAGAGGATAAGATCTGTGGGTCGAACTTAGAATAGTGCAGTGTGTCATTAACAGAAAGAGGGTGGTAATTTCAAAGGAGATGCAATAATTTCTTACACTGCTTGAGTGTGATTTGTGATCACATTACTGTACTGTAATCTGACCAAGCCCAAGTTTTTCTTTATCCTTTTTAAGGAAAGACAAGTCATACTGAAAGCCTTTCTATATGACTTGAAAGTCTTTCAGCGTGATTTGTCATTAACGAACTGTGAGACTTATGAATGTAATCTTTCCAGAGGTCCTGGAAATAGAAATCATCCTCTAAGGCGTAGATAAAACTTTTTAGGAAATTTAAGTTTTGTCCTCCTTTCTTTACAATATTTATAATTTACAGCATACATCAATTTCAAAATCTTTTATGTGTGAGTGAGACTCATTAAGTCTGTTGGAGGTCTTGCCTGCCCAAGACAAATGAGCAGAGGAAGTACCTGTATTTTAGGTGGCTTTCAAAGCAGTCTAACCCACCAGACTTCTATAGCAGAATAAGCATGTAACTTTCCGGAGAGCCTTCCATCATACTTATATCATGATCCATTAAGTTCCCCGTTGAGGATTCCTGTTAATACAGTCGGTGTACAAATGAATCTTTGAATGATGCCACTTGGAAAAATACATCTCATAGTATTTTGTATCATTAGTGTAATTAAGCAAAATAATTCTAGCATTTTGCTTTTTCACTAATCCAGGAAAAACGAAAACTGAACACACAGTCATATTACTAAATTTCTTAAGAGTTTTACTCATCGAAAACTTAGGATTGTTCTTGACAAATCTCTTTGGAGTTTGACATAATGATGGAATTGATAATATATTCTCTGATTTGCTGCTTCTGGTTTGCAACTGCACAGCCCCTAGTCTTGCTGTTCTTTTTGTTTTCTTTCTCTCTCCATTATGAAGTTTGGAATTGTCCTTGTTATTGAACTGGACAGGGTTATTGCCAAAACACTACCAGCTATCCTAGAAAAGTAATTTAAAACCTTTACTTCCTACTTCAAAAGTTGGACATTGACAGCCCATTTATGTACGTAGACATAAAACTTCACTGGGTCTCATGGAGGCAAAGAAAATGCTTGAGATGTTAAGTACATCCAAATGAGGCAAGCCAGCCCAAACTTACTTCCTCAATGTTACTGTTTTTGTAACATGCAGCAAAGTTGACTTTCTATATTTCACCAGGAATTACAAGATTTTATCTTTCTGTAGTATAAGGCTGCTAAGGGAGTTTTCACATTTCTGTTTCCAGTTACATCACATTGCAGTAAACTCCAGTTTTACATAAGATACCCTTTTAGGATAACCTAGTTGGAAAGCTGTTATGGAAAATTGTAGCACTTGGGCCAAATGATCCTGTAAAAAGGAAAAAACACGAGCAACAACAGCAAAAAAGCCACAATTGTTTCTAGTGATCTCTCTGTCTTGTGGACAGAAAAGTTACGTTACAGCAACAAATTTATAAATGGGTAAAAATATATTACTGGAGTTATAACCAGAACGTCAAGTGCAAAAGAAAGTGGTTCAAATACTGTGTAAAGTAACTCCTCAATCTATTATTTGCTGTACACTTCAGCTGACAATATAGCAAAGGCATCTCTTTATTATGAGCTAAGAAGTCACAGTTTATTCAGTGATCATGATTTACTTCTGGTCACTTTCAAAATTAAACCTTTTGCACAATCTGGTACAGCTGTTGTATGGTGGTTTATGTTGGGACCTCATAATTTCCCCAGACAAAAATTCCTTCTTCAAAAGAAGGAATATAAAACAGTAAATTCTGCCCTTGTTTTTCAGTCTGGCTCATGCTGTGCTTGTTTGCATGTTTTTACATGAGCTAAATTGTGTATTCTTTTTCCTGTCTTCAGATTTCTTGCTTAGGTATCACTACAAATGAAAGAATGAATGCAAGAAGATACAAGCACTTTAAAGTTACAACCACGTCTATTGAAAGCCCATTCAAGTAAGTTTTAAAGTGTAAACATAGTTCTCATTTGTGTAGCCTTGCATACGTTTGAATTGTTCAGCTTGTTGAAACAAAACATACCTAAATACATTTAAAGTATTTTGACTCTACTTGGAATGCTGAATCTGTCAACTATTTTTACAGTAACACATTCTATTCAGTCAAAGGAAATATCCTCTCTATAAATCAGATGCCCAAACCAGAGGTAGTTGCTTATTTCATGGTGTCAGTGTTGACCTGGATCTTCACTTCCACACCAAGCAGTCACTTCACCTGATTGATATTTAATCTGCTGTTCAGTTTGCTCTGTGCAGTAGCTCCCCTTGGTCTCTTTACTGTGAGAAAAGAGGGCAGCACTTGCTGCTCAGGAGGAAGAGCATGGGCAAAGCTATTTGTGAGGAAGGAAGCAGGATGTCCCAGGAACTGGTGTGAGTGTTGCATGGGTGAGACAGGGGCTTTTGGGTATCAGTAAGTGAAGAGTCGGTTGAGATTCTGGCTTCTGTAGTGGTGAGGCTGCAAGCTGAGAGAGGGGCTCAGGGATGATATAGCACTGGGATGGGAATGTGGCAGCGTGGAGCAGCTTGTGGAGCCAAAGCAGGAAATAAATGAAAGCGTGAAACTGCAGTATTGGTGGGTTGAGGGCGTGTTACAAAAGGAGCAGAGGAAGGATAGAAGCATGTTTCATCCTGCTGCATATGCTATGTCTCCTGTGGGAGTTGCTGTATTTCAGGTGACACCCAGGGAAACAGGAGATAGCAGTTGTTGTTGCAGTTTGATTTTTTGCTAGAAGATAAGTTTGTGTGATCTTTTTTTAATGTCTCTCCATACAAAACTTTTAGTGAGAAGCAGACAAGCATCTCTGAATAGTCACAGTCTTCTGCAGATTAGATTGTAACAAAACTAGATAATTATTTTGCCTGAAGAACACAGGGTGGTGCACAGGGTAGGAAAAAAATACTGGTTTTATACCCAAATTAATGTCACATTGACAAACTCTTTTCATTGAAATAGCTGCTATTATAAAAATGACTCCTGAAAATAACACCAGATGTCTAAAATAACTGACTTGGCATCACTTGTCAGATGAAGCATTGACATCATAGTTGTCATCTCCTTGTTGCTTAGATCTCTTCTTGCATATATCATAGCACGACCTTCGCTTCCAGAAAACTGATCTGTTCAGCCCATGTGTAATTAAGTTAAAAAAAACCACAACATGTTGGAATTCTGATGTAGGTATCTTAAATATTTGACAAGTAATTGATTCAACAGCAGAAAGCACTTGAATAGTTCATTTAATTCAGATAATGCTTGCTTAATTTTGTGTTGTCTAGGGACTTAATTGATTTTAGACCTGCAGCTGGTGAACCAGTATGTATGACAGAAATAGATATTAATAAAAATGGAAATTATTCTAGGAAGACATTCACATCACACTGTTTTGTCTTGCATCCATCTGTACAACGCAACTTTCCTCTTAGAGAGGGATCTGAATTACCGTGCTATGCTACATAATGGTGCACTGTCAATAACATATTACAATTCCCCATACAGTTTTGGTAGATAGTGGAAGAAAGTTAGTGTCTTGGTTGTGTCCAAGGATCAAACATCACCAATCTGGTGATTACTTCTTATTTTTCAGAACAGCAAGCACTAAGTGAATTGGTTTTGTACAGTTAGGAGCTTAAAGGGCGAAGAACTGAATTTTGTAGCTAGACAAAAAAGTTGTACTTTGTTAGGTGAGCTATGATATTGCTTACTAACATGTGTTTTTGTTTTGTTTGTAGCCATGGATGTATAAGGAACATTATAGACTTCTTTGAATTCAGATGCTGTGGTCTTTTTCGGCCTGTTATTGTGGACTGGACAAGGCAGTATACAATAGAATATGACCAAACTTCAGGATCAGGCTACCAGCTAGTGTAGCACCACCTTCATCCTGTGAGCATATCATATCTGAGTGGTGCCTGAAAATTTTTCTCTCTCTCTCGAATCCACATCCCTTGAAGAGTAGCATGCTATGTGTAAGGCTGATGATGAATCTTAAGGTACCTTCTCTTCATCAGAATTTTGGTAACAGAAGTAAAAATGGACAGAATAAACTGCCAAAACCTGATAAGGAAGAGGAGGAAGATCAAAAAGGGATTTTAACAGTTCTTAACATGAGAATTATTTGCAACAGCATATTCACAGTATTTGTTGTTGGGTTTTTTATTTAAGGACTTTCACAGTGGAGCATGAGATTATTGAAGTATTGACAAAAGTAGTTACGTCGTGCTGAGCAGAAAAATCTATTTCCCAATACGAATAATTCCACTGAAACAAGAATCTAGAATATAAAACTAAATTTCATGATGCAGAGTTCACTGATCGCTGTGTTGTAGTTCCTGTAATGTGATTTTTTTAATACAGATTTTCTGTAGTATTATGTACATTGAAAAATGTGCTTTTTGATACTGTTATAAACATCATGTGGTGGAAATCTCCTGTAATGTGTTAAGTTATAGCAGTAGGGCACGTCAGATAATATTGAGAAAAAATACGTTGCCCTCAATTTTTTGGTGATTGTTTTTGCCACGAGTTAGTGGTACAACTAAATACTTTTAATAACCCTGTTCTGCAGTTATATAGCCTGAAATAAACAATTGCACAAATAAGGAAAGCTCTTCTGTCAAAGTTAAAGCCCTGCTTACATGCATGATACACCTGTAAAACTAGATTACAGTATATAATGTTCAGGAAAAAAAATGGTAAAAAATCATTATCTTTGAAATAATTGTATAAGCAACTTACAAAGTATCAATGTTTCAATATTAGGTTTGATCCTCATACAGTACAGTGTAGTGTAATTGGAGACATGTTGGAAGAGAAGTTGCATGGAGGAAGCCACAGGTGTGAAAGCAAAAATCTCAATTGTAACAAAACAAGATAGTTTTAAATTGAATGTAACTGCAGAAGAAGAACACAAAGTTGTCTGAAATGCTTATTTTGTTTGGATGTAAAATAATGGAAAACAAACTTAAAAAAAAAAATACCCACAACAACGTGCGCACACAGAAAATGTAATGCAGCGTTCTGAAGATGATGGTGTATTGGCATGTGGAAATCTTCCTTAATTTCTTTTTTTAAGTTCTCATGCTACAGATATGATTGGAAGGTAAGGAATGATCTGAAATTGCATTCCAAAGGGGCTTTTCTTGAATGTGATGCACTGATTTTTGTCATGGTGTTTTCATATACTCGTAGTGAGTTGTTCACTGCTTCCTTAACTATTGTTTACAGAGAGACTGAGAATCAGGTTAGTTCTCTTCTAAGTGCTGTAGCAACCCAGTGGTTCAAGAAACCTGTGAGGGGAGTTTGGGGAGGGACCTGAAAGCGGATGTCTGAGACCAGTGTAAAGAATGTGTATCTGTATATAAATAATTTATCAAATAGTTTTCTCTCTGTGAGTGTGTGTTTAGTGTATTTAAAGCTGCTCATTTTCATTTTATTCAACCAAAAAAAGTGTAGGAAGATATCTAATGAGCTTTTAGTGATGTTCAATATTGCTGTTAATAGGCATTACGCCCTGCAAATTCACTGCATGTTTGATGCTTGGCAAAATTAGCGTTTTCTGTAATATGCAGATTACAGGTAATAAAGCAATCTAGTGGTATTCCCGGCCCTTGCCTTAGTAAGAGGAGCAGTGAAAATGTAAATAGTTGATGTTCAGTATTTGCAAGTAAACATTTTTTCTGTAGTTGTTCATTGATCTCAAGACACACGCTTGACACACTCAAGACACCAGATATCAGGATTTACAGAAGTGCAGCATTAGAGTACTTGAATGTTTAATACTGGAAAAATCAACATCATCTTGGACACAGTTTTAATGGGAGAGGTTAGAGTGTAGGGGTGGTAAGAAGCTTTTGCTATTTTTGTCAGACAAAATTTGTAATCCTAATGAAGACACATTTGTTTCAGTGAAAACAGTTGATATCAGTTATTTATATTTGTTTCTAATCAGAAAAAAGCATGAAGCCTTTACAATGTTCCTTATTTTAATCACCAGTAATGGTCTGCATATTTGTTCATATTTTTTCTTTCACATCTCTGTTGAGGGTCGGTTGACTTGAAGAACTTCAATCCACTTCAAATATCGCCTAGCACCAGAAGAGCAGTTCAGTACATGATACAAGTTTTGGTTTTAGTTGCCCAGTAGCGTTAACTGCCATGAATTGTGTCTTGGAGTTCATGTCAAAGATGTTTGCAAAAGAGGTGATCTTTGGTAGTATGTAGTGCGTTGTGCACAATTTACTTGTTAATAGCTCTCTGGTGACAGTTTTTTTGAGACCTGCAGAATTTGAGCAATAGTAGGTAGTTGTGAAAATTAACTTGCATATATGGGTTTGGGATGTATGAAGTTTCCAGTGCAAAATGTAACTTGTCTTGAGTAACACTGAGTCATTTGATGTGAAATCATAAAATCAAGAAGGGGGGAGCCAACTATGCAGCATTTTTCTGTCAAGTTATCAAACTTACAGTTCACTTGTTGAACCAAAACTGCATTGCTTCTGAAATTTAACAAAGCCAATCCAGACCAACAGCAGATCAGACCAACTTAATCTGACATAGGTAGAATGAATGGGAATTTTGTCTTGACCCTAAACATGTGCTGTTTCTTTGCAGGTTTCTGTATTCTTTGATGTCCATCAGGTTTGGTTTTGTTTTGGTTTGGTTTTTTTCAATTAATGTGTAAAACAGTATCACTACATTTTAAGCTATGGATTTTTTTTTATATTCTTTATTTATAACTGTGCCAAGTATTATTTTAATACTGTCAAGATCTTGATGTATTACATTGTGAACAAAAAAAAAATCTGTAAAATGTTTAATAAATTAGCTCTCCTTACATAAATTAAATCTGTTAAATTTTGTAAGTTATTAATCAAATAAATATTGACTCTTAGATGCAGTGTTTGTCTTGACTTGGGATGTGATTTCATGGCTTTTCAGAAGCCATACCATGAGAAAATACTTGCTATCTTGCATCTTATTTTAGTAAAGTCTTTCTGGAAAGGTTTATGGGTGTCTTAAAGATAGCATGCACCCAATTCTGTGCTGATGTGAAATCCTGTGAACTACGACACTGGGTTTTGGTAAAGGACACCTTTGTACTACCAATTAGTGTTACCATTCCCTAATTAGATACTCCTTTCTTTTGAGCAAAGCATGCTGGCAAAGAAATGTTTTTTAAGGGAGAATTCCATCTAGGGAATGTTTCAGGGGAGCCAAATGCACATATTTAATGGCATTTGATGTATTCTAAGGGTAAACGAGACATCCACACAGGGCTAGGGGGTACATGACCAAGATGTGTGCCTCTAGGAGGCACTCCAGACCTTCACTCTCCTGGTCTGTGCTAAAGGTTAGATTTTGAGTAGAAATAAGGTAACCATCCAAGTTGGAATTTAATCAGAATATTTATAACCAGCAAGATGTACTGAAGTATGAGTCTAAGACTTAAGAGCACACCTAATGGGGAGAAAAAAACCTCTGTGTTTTCTTCTGGGTGTGGGTTCGATATTGACATTGAGAATTGTTGGTGCTCTTCTCCCCTTCCCCAAGCAATGGTTCTGGTGAGGCTGGGCCCAAGCTCGCCTCTGCTGACCACCCTTTGACTTGTCTGGTACAGATCAGGGAAGGTACTTTATTTTTTAAAAAAGACATTCTGTGCTGAAGATCTCCCTCAGATTTGCACTGCTCCATCAGCGCAGCTGCTGCTCTTGGGAGGTATGGGTGGGCTCCTGAGGACTTGAAAGCTGGTTACTGAGTTTGTTTTACTTGGGAAGAAGCCTGCCCTCTGCACCCTCATTATGGCTTTATTAGAGCTCAGTCCCTTGCACCTCCCATGAGCTGCCTTTTCAGTAAAATCAAAATTTTTTGCTATGAAAGCAATGTTTACTTGTGAATGCTTGCGTTTGGATTTTATCCACCTTAGCCTACTGAATGGAGATCAGTGAAAATTGCACCTGCTAATTCCAGGTTGAATTTATTTGCAGTATCTTATAACCTTAGTGCCATATCTTATAAATTTAGTGGAATATTTACCAATTTAGTGCTTCCAATCCTACCTACTACTTAAGATCTTGAGATCATGAAGTCAAAGTACTCTAGAGAACCAATCTCTCCTGGAATTGGGGCTCCAGACTGAGACTAACTCAAAGTATTACTCCAGCCTGGGCTGAGCTTTTATTCATCAGTGCTTTGCTGCAGCTGCAAAGTTGACAGTAACCAAGTGAAAGCACTTCAGCATAAAGTACTCATTTCTCTTGACGGGTATATTGTCTTTATGGTTACAAGTTTTCTTTTTTCCCTCATTTCTTTGTTTTTCTGTTGTTAAATTAAATACGTTGTTGGGATGTAGAGCAGTGTGGAGCTGTGAGTTGTTGCTATGAGTCCCACGACGAAATGAAAGGAAAGCCCTTGATTTTCAGCGGTTTAAATTGCTTCCAATCACTTGTACAGTTCATTTTCCTAAGAATTGAAAACTCTCTGTTTTATAGGTAAATGAACAATGTGGTAGATGCCTGTGTCTGTCAGCATAAATTGCACCTGCCAACTCTACTAATGTGGCAGGTTTAGATCCAGTACAGTAGCTGCGTCAACTAGTGGTGAGCAGTTTCATCTGCTTGGTAGTATGTCAAGAGCGTTATTTTGGTTTCTGTCTGTCAAACAGTGCCGCCCAGCATTTTACAATGCGGTTCCTGAGAAGAGGAAGCACTTCCATCAGCTAAAGAGGCTATGGAATGGGGATATTGTCATTGTTTTCATTGCCTTAGCTGCTGGGGCCTGGATACCATTTTGAAGTTAGAGCTGTCCTTGTTCAGGCTGGAAGAGGTGGAGGGGCTTAACCCTTCCTGCACAACTGTCAAGTTGGCTAAGGAGAAAAGTGGGGGGTTTTGTTTGCTTGCTTGGTTGGTTGGTTTGGTTTGGTTTTTTTAAGGAGAAAAGTATTAGGATGATCAGTATGAGCAGCAGGACCAAAGGTTTCTGCCTAGGTTTCCTGGGCTGTGCTGTTGCTTGCTGTCACGCTCCTACCCCAAATGTGTGCTGATTCTGCCTTATTGTTGTCTTTCTCAGTTGTAATCTTTCCTTCTCTGCGAGCTGTACAAGCTCTTGGCTCACATTTGAGCTGGCTGGCTGTTCTTCCTCATATCCACATTGTTCCTTTGTAACCCATACAAAATGCTCTTTGTGTATTATTTTGACTAGTACGTATTTTTCTAATTAGGCTTTTGGCTTGCACTGCTTCACTACCTCAGACTACAGTCAGAGAGGTTGCTTGAAACTCTGCCTTAGACCATGCTGGCACACTTGCTTACTATTTTATTGTAACATTCCCAGTCTTGGCTGTGTCTCCATAAATTCACTCCATGAAGGCTTCCCCCCACCCCCCTGAGGTATCAGCCTGCTTCCTGAACCAGATGGAGTTTCAAATCTCATATTTTCTTTAATTCTCTTCTGTTGGGCATGCTGAGAGTCAAAACTGAACCTCCCCACTCCAACCAAGAACACCACAGGGGTTGTAGCCACCAGGATTGAGCTCGTGCTTCCCCACAGATGTGGTTGGCCTCTGGTGGAGCCCTTGCCATGTAAGGGATGGAAAGAAACTCCAACAGACAGACAGCCACCTGTTACCTGCTGGAGCTCAGGCATGCTCCCCTGAGGTACGATTTGTGCTTTTAAGAGGCGTGGGCTTCCCGATCTCTTGTGCCTCCTCCTTCCTGTAGGCAAGAGCAAGCCCTAAGCTTTGCAGAAGGAGCTTGGCAGAGGAGCTGGAGCACACTGGTGAAAGTTTGTTTCAGGTGCATAAGAAACTTACACCCAGATTTGAAAAGAACACAACAAAGAATTAAGCTGTTCAAGCTGTTCATACTAAATACTGGTTACTGGCATAAAAATAGGGCACCTTATCTCAAACTGGATGGTTATTTGCATCACAGTTTTAGGCTGAAGTACTTCATTCTCACATGTTTGTGGTGGGTTGGTCCTGGATCTCCTGGTGAGAAGGTGGCTCCTCTTTGTTTGCAAGAAGTGCAGTCACAGGTGCCATCACCTCAGGCCTTGTAGGCTTATGGTGGGAGCTGCTCCAGCCCCGCAAAAAAGCCAAGCTCTTCTGTGAGCTTTCCACTCAAGATCTCTCTAAAGCAAAAGCAATTGTCTTCTAATCGTAGACCTCTAGGAACTGGTGCTAATAAAGTCACATTTTAGCAGAGGCAAGGATCCTGACTGTTACAGCTTCCACCCAACTGCTGTCTTCACAGGGAGTAGATCTCCACTGCATTTGATGCGTTTAATTGCTATGAGTCCTTGCCCATCAACTTGAGTTCAAGTCAGGTTATCTACTAGAGTGCTTAGAGGCAGAATTTTGTTCTGCTCTGGTGTTGCACTGCCTTGTCAGGCACCGTCCTCAAGAGGCTGAAACCCTCCACCATCTTCAGGGAACTAAGGGTTGGAACACGACGGGGAAAGGGACAAAATCTGCTCTTAAACCTGAGTTTGACATGATAGTCGGGTATGGTATTAATCTGCAGCTCTCGTGGTAGAGTACTGCTTCTGCACAGAAAGTCCTGTGCGCGGTAGCACCTCAATACCCCATACCAAAGCAGGTGCAACCCCACAACATATTACAGTGAAAGAGGTTTGTTTTCCTTTCACTAGAAACTCTGGCAGAGACAGACAGCCATTTAGGCACACAGCTATTTATAATCTAGCACTTCACAGCTGTGTCACTGCACAGAGTGGTAGTTTAAGATTTCCTGCTTCTGTGCAGTGAGCAGCTAGTGGTGTGATAATGGTGTGATACTGGAGGAGAGTCATTCACCTCTGAAGGCCATGACCAGTGCTACCTATGTCCAGCTTTCAGTGAACATTTGTACCAAGTCCATCACATCTCCACCTCTGAAGTACCCTGACAATACTCCCTTACTATCTTTTTATTACTGACAAAGCATGTAACACTTGGGTTTAGGATATATCAACAAGCAAAGCTTTATTGAATTGATACTCAGTATTAAAAGTGTTACAGTGTGATACACAAAGCAAGGAAAAAAGCAGTGCCTTTTTTAAAAACAAACAAAAAAAATCATCTGCTGAATGTATGGCCCAAGCACTACAGTAACTAGTATCTGTTTCACAGTAGTTAGTAACATTTTGGAAACTCTCTTGTTTCTTGTAGCAGGATCTCAGCAGAGCCGAAGGGCATTTTGAGCTGTGCCCCCTCACTGGGCATGAACAAGAGCACCCGCTCCTTGGCCATACCCAAATCCCTTGGGGCCGAAGTTCTTTGCATAACAACCTGTAAGGAACATGAATGCGTAGTAGGTGAGGTTTCTGGCTTGTCAATCAGGAAGAGCAGTCTAGACTAAGCCCCTCGGCTGCTTCCCATTAGTCACCAGAACATCCCCATCAGAAGCAACGCTCAAAATCATTTTGTGAAGCTGTGTAACTGCCATGACTGAGCTCAACAGCCGTAGCTGTTCAGTCAGCGTAGCTCCCAACCTTACTCTGTAAAAGCAATTCATACATCAGTTCTGGGGCTAGATATCTGTTAAGAGATATGTTGTCATCAAACCACTGTGTGGATCAAGTTTATATCCGTGATACCACACTAGAAGGCGCGGCAGGATGGTAGCTCCTTTGTTTCCTTACTCTGATCTGCTCTCTGGTCCAGGCAGAGGACACAGGCTGCGGCTGCATTATCAGGAATGTAGTGTTTTGCTCGAGGGAGATGTGAGCTACATCAGCAGCTTCAGTAATATTTATTTCATTTCTCAGCTCTATTCCTATGACTTATAGAGCATTTCCATCTTGACAGGAGCCTGAAAGTTTCTTATACCAGGAACACATTCCGCATCTGTCCTTGTAACACATTACCTTGAACCATAAACAAGTGATCTTTGTTTCTTTCCTCACCTTTACAATAGATTTCTCCCTCTTTTTCAGTTAGAGTTGTAGATTCTAGGCTTTTTCCACACTTGGCACATCGGAAGCAGTTTTTGTGCCAGGGCTAGGGGAAAAAAAATCCAAACAACAAGATAGGTTAAACACAAAGAAAGCCTGAGTTTGGAAAAAAAAAAAAAAAGCATTACCTGGATCAATTTCATCATCTGGATCAATTGATTCATCATCAATTTCATTGCACCAGTCATCTATAAACAATACATCAGTATTGTTTATAGATGACTGGTGCAATGAAAAGCAGTTCAAGCGCACCAGTAGCAGACGAGAGCATCCGCATTTCTGAGTGGCCCAAAGCCCTGGATTCCGCACAGCTTTCCGGTCAGGGCAGCGTTTTGAAAGGTTTGGGCTTGCTCTAATCAATTCAGAGCAGACCTTGGCTCTCCATAGTGAGGCAGGCAGCTGGCAGACTGACACACAGCTTTACACAGTATTTTCAGAGAACATCCCTTTTACTGCTGAAACACTCAGCCTCCATCAGAAGATGCACGCCACAGGAGTGTTCCCTCTTCTGCAGTGAGAGCGCTCCTGTAGTCTGCTTCAAGTCTGACATGAGACAATATTGAAGCTTCACCTCTGAAATCCAAGGTGAGCACTCATCACCCTGCATTTCAAGTGCTTTTTGTTCAGTGAAGTTGAAAAATAGATCAATATGATGATTTCCAATGCTAAGAAATGCAATTTTAAGGTAACTCTGCCCTGCAGTCAGTTCCCTACTGGAACACACACAACATGCCTTGCTCATTTTAAAAAGTCCAAGTCCACATAGCAGGTACAAAATGACATGCAGTTCCTTACCTTTCCAGCTCCTATTACTTTCTCTGCTGCATAAACAGAATCGCCACACCGAGAGCATTTCTCTGCCCCGCCGAATTTCTGAGCGAACTTAGAAGTGTTTGGATTTGTTGTGGGTCGGTGGGGAGAGGGTGTGCTGAAAGACACAGGGCATTTGTTGTCTTTACTCTCTTACTAAAAGACCTCTTGCTTTTCTTCACAACATTAACAGAGAAGCATCCACCACAGTACAGAATACTGTACTTTTTGCAAAACTGCAGAGGTTAGTTACAGGCAAGGCTATCCAGTTTCACTTGGTAAGGGGGAGGCAGGGGGGAACCAAACGAGAAAAGCCATGCCTCAAAGGATAAGAAAAAGCTACTGTAAAAGCTAGTTTTCTGAAGAGCTTTCACCTTTTCACTTCTCTAGAAGTGCTGAATTCTGCATCAGGACATGAGTTTGTCAGATAGTAAACTACAAATAGTTCTGTGGAATTCCTGTCCACTGATCATAATCTGGAGCCTGAACTGATCCCTGAACTTCACGGACTGAGCTGTTTATCAGTTCTTGGTATGCTCTGGTTGGAGAGCATACCTCATATGAACATGTAGCAATAATTTGGGAACTTGCATGAAGCAAGTTGTGAGGCATACCTCAGCTTCTTTCCACATGCTTTGCCTTACAGCAAGAACTTAATCAGACCAAGAATGTTTACTATTTAATAGGAGTTTTGGTTTTGTCTATAATTAAGCACAAATGGTTCTTCATTTGCCAGTTAAAAATTCATTATTCTTGTAGCCCCAGATTCTCAGCTCTCTGAATCCATTCCTGACAGAACTTGTCAAACATTTGCATTTGCAGCACATTTAGAAGAGTGGCCCGAGACCTACAGTCACTTCCGTGGGCTTGTGCAGAGCCATCAGCAGCTTTGTAATGCAGTCCCCTATGGCTCAGTTCTTGCACCCTTACTCATGCTAATTCCTGCTTGTACAGTGCCTACTTGCGTAGACATCAGTGAAAGCTTTGTGCACTCCAGGGTAACTGCCTTGCATTCAGTTATAGTGGGGTGTTTTGCAGCATTCCTATTCCAGACAAAATGAATTAAACAAAATCCAGCCTGAAAACGCTACTTACTGGAGGACAAGGGTCACATCCCCCCAACTCAGTTCACTCACCTCTCAGGCTTGATGCCTAGTCTCTCTCCCCTGTCCATGTTCAGTGTGCCTGCCCCTTGGCCATAGCCATATCCTTTCGGGCCATACTTTTTTCCATAGCAAGATTTGCAGTAAACTTCAGCATCATGAATTGCTACAGTTGTGCTGTCCAAGTTTTTCCGGCAGACCACTGGAGGAAAAAAACAGTTAAATTGCCTTAGGGGACCACTTCCATCAGCATGTTGTAGTAAGCCAAAAATCAAGTGAGGAGTGATGGTATGGGTTTCCTTGTCCACAATTCTTCCTATAAGGCTGTGGGACTGCTAAAGATTAGAGGGGGCAGGTTGTAGATTGAATTAGTGAATTATGCTTAGCCCTATAAAGGGCTCTATTCCCTCCCACGTCTTCAGGACCGTGACATTTAAAGCCTGGAAACTTGCTGTGGTTTGATGAAAGAGGCTGCTCTGAAGCCCAGATAGTGCAGTCAGCAGTTTCCCTTGACAGATGCCATACAGCACAAAGTTGAACAGTGCAGAAGAGCCTCTGTCCTGCCCTTTCAGCCAGGGTAGGGCAGGAAAAAAAAACAAAACAAAACCACCTTCAAGGTTTTCACCCTGTCTCTGTACAGGTTTTGAGGCAGAGCTGGGAATGTTTTACAGCTGTCATCAGAGGGGCAAAAAAACATTCCTGCATTGTCCTTCAGAACAATGCAAGCACTCTGCTCAAGGTTGCAGTAGAAAGCCGAACTATTTCCTTCTTAAATTTTCTTTTGTCTCCCAGCTGGCACACTCCTTCCATCTGCAACAGTATTATGCCCATGATAAAGAATTTGGGGAGGGGGGGAAAAAAAAACCAAAACAAAGAAAAAGCCTTATGAATTTTTTTGTTTAAAAATAATTTTAAGGTCTTCAAAATAGAGAGTGACCTTTGCTTATGGCATTCATTAGCTCCAAGGTTCTTTTTGAGAGACAAAAATATCCAATAAGTAAATCAACTAATGCATGTTTGTTAAGTCTCCAGACTTTAACCCCAACAGAACTATGCACTAAGGAAAAGCAAATACTCAGACACACTAGAGCCATTGTTTGACTGTAAGTTCCAGGCTTCTTTTAATAGAAACTCCCATAAAAGGCTGAAAATGAGGCAGCCGAGACATCTAATCTTTTTTTTGTGATTGCTGTAGAGCTAAGGGGAAGGAGCGTAGGTGCACCGAGGCTCACATGCCAGCACAGTGGACTGACATTAGGCTGCAGACTAACACCAAACAAGGTCAAGAGGACCAGTTGTAACTGGGGCTTATATAAAGCTCTGCCCATATGTATTAAACACCAGCCAGGGGGACAGAACAGTACCTCATGTTTGTAATAAGGTAAAATTCTCTGATTCAGACAGACAGGCTGTCTGTTTGCAAAGTAGAAGCCTCCGATTCACAGCAACTCTTTGTTCCCTTCATCTAATCTGAGGTCTTCTCAGCAGAGAAAGCGATTTTCAATGCCTCACTGGGCTTGTTGGTTGTACTGGAAAATAATGCTTTGGGCTCCTTTCATCTGAAATAAACCACAGGCCCTTGTGCCAAGAAAGTCTAGGCTTTTGGCTGTGCTAAAGCATCGACAACTCGGCTGTGCTCAGGCAAGCTGGTGTCCCAGTCTGTGAGAGACTTCAGGGCAGGGCTTTGATAATTGTCCTTCAGCTGCTGCCAGCCCCAGGACCACCTGGAGAAGTCCAGCTGAGCCCAGATCAGTGCAAATGGGGCTCCACCATTGGGCTTTCTCCTCTGCATGATCAACACTTAAGCCAGGTTTCACAGAATCATGGAATGGTTTGGGTTAGAAGGGACCTTAAAGATCATCAAGATCCAACCCCCCTGCCATGGGCAGGGACACCCTCCACTAGACCAGGTTGCTCAAAGCCTCATCCAGCCTGGCCTTGAACACCTCCAGGGATGGGGCATCCACAGCTTCTCTGGGCAGCCTGTGCCAGTGTCTCACCACCCTCACAGTAAAATATTTCTTCCTAAGATCCCTTAGACTCCCAAGGAGAAGGCTGGAAGTGGGACAAACACAGGAGAAAAGCATGATATGCTCTGCTTTGGGAGCCACACTCCACTCCTCCCACCCTGGACAGGTAGGCCAGTATCTCTCCAGGAAACAAGCTCTCCCTTTGGCACCACCAGCCCCAGGAAGCTTTGCAGGGGAGCAGGAGGGGAATACTTACTGCAGAGGAAGCAGCACCGGTGGAAGCTCCTCCCGTCGCACTGCACCTCCTCGGCATGGTAGACGGTGCGGCCACAGGCACCGCATTTGTTGCCGCCTCCCCAGTTAGGCATGATGGCTCTGTGCACCCGGCGAGGCGGGAGGGGAGAAGGGGAGACATTTGTTAACCACAGCATCCGCCACCACCCTGGCTTAAGGGCAGTCGGGGTTACAGACTCCTTTAAACCAGGTCTGCGAAGTTTCTATATCAGAGTGCAAGCCTGTGATTTCACCAACTGTTTAAAAATGTGAACTTGCGCCGCATGAGAAGTTTTTGTGATCAGATCAGCTTCTGAGCCCTTCAGATCCCAGACCAGACTTAAAGGCTTAGGCAGGCTCTCTACGGCTATTTGTAAAAGCAGATGGACTGGCAAGGGGAACAGAGGCTGCTGCTGAACAGCAAGAAAAACAGAGACACGGTCTTCACGAGACGTGTCCTCCCATCCCTGCCCAGGGTTTTGAAAATTACATAAATTGGATATGCATAAATTACAGTTTCATGCACAAGGGCTTTACTGTACCATGAGCAAATGTCCCCCCAGATGGATATAATTTCAGTTTCCACACTTGATTAACGCTGGGCCTCTCTGATGGAAGCAAACCAATTGTGCCAGCAGTGGCATTTTGTTTTACTGTAGGGCCTACCATTTGGGATGCAGTACAAGTCAAGGTTCACCTCACTGGAGAGCCGCTTATTAGGGCCATAGGGACATCCTGAACTCCTTTGAGATCATGCCTGGACTTCAAAGAAGTATAGTGGGGATTATTTGCTGGAGACTCCACCTCTGTTACATGAACTGTGCCTTTACCAGACAGGCATATGAACCAAACCTAACTGCTCAAGGAGCCACAGGTGCTTTAAAATAAAGACTCCCTCCCATGCGGGACTTGCAATGGGCGCCCAGAAGGCTAGTAAGGAGGGACAGGCACTGTCACCCATCTTGTCAAACCACAGCCTTGGGAACAGTCTCCTGCATTAAGCCAGAAGGACCAACTGTCCCATCTCAAGCTGAGCTGCCCCCTGCCCAGCTCCCCTACCCTGCTGCCATCACCACTCCCAGCTCCCAGCCAGCTCAACTGGGAGCTCCTCCTGCTCCTCCCATTACCCATCCTGTGTTAAGGCACCAAAGCAGAGCACTGCCCACCACCTTCAGCTTTTCTGGGGCTTTCCTCCTCCCCCCACCAGCAAGAGCTAACACAGCAACGTTTGTTGAAGGCTCATCTCCCTGTCATTGCTGCACGGACCGTGGTTCACAGGCTTTGGTTGATGCTGGTTTGCTCCCCTGCAGCTCACCACCAGATGGGTGCCAGCAGCAGCCAGAGAGAGGGTTATCGACACCCCGAGTCTAACCTGGCAGAGCTGCTCAGGCCTCATCATCCCCCCCCTGCCCCAGCTCCTTACTGACCCTTGTTTCAGACAGGGTTTCTGGGCAAGGAGGACCATGGGTTTGCCCACTGGAAGCCCAGAGGGTATCTCCTGCCACCCCCACTCCACTAGCAGCACCATTCCTCCCAGCAGCAGGTAAGGGCCAGCTGTCAGGGAGGGAGGCAAGGGAGGAAGGAAGGAATTTGTCAGGAGCTTCTGACTTCTTTCGGCCCAATTCACCTTCAGTTACCCTTAGAAACTCTCCTATGTCGACCAAACAGGGAGAGGGGACATGCGACAGCATCCCCACGGAACACCCACAACCCGCTGCCTCCAGTCAGTTTTGCTGACCATCCCTCTGAGCCAGAAGCAGAGAGCTACCAAACTCCAGTTGTCCCCCTGGCCAACAGAGAGGAACTGGAAGCGCCGTCATGACACAGGGAGCCAGAGAGGTGCGCTCTGCTTCAAGATCCTCTTCCACTAAGGGCTCTCACTGACGCATGGGAGAGACCTCAGAGCAGGGCGAGGGGCCTCGCGCTCCCCAGGTCAGCTAGAGCAGGCTCACAAACCCCATCCCAGAGTAGCAGTTTTGGCTAAGCCTGAATTAAGTGACCCATCTTGCTCGTACTCCTAAAACAAGCCTCCTGCCCAAGCAGCCTGACCAGTAACTGGTTCAGAAAAAAAAGGAAAGGTTGTGTTGTTCCTAAGACACGCTGCCAAGTAGCTGCTACAAGACCTTTGTCTGAGACAAGCAGACAGCCATTCATGGCATGTGGGAAAATAAGATTAGTTTATTAACCTAAATTGGGGCATCTTAGGTACATTCCTAAGCAAAAGCTTAGGAAACTTCCTCAGAGTGGCTGAGGGGTGCCATTTGCACACTGACACTAATTACTGAGATATCCCTTTGTTTAATACTTCCACAGGATTAGCACCATTACTGCTCCATGGTTTAGCACTAATACCCTGACCGAGCTCATAAAATTAGTTTTATGACATTTCCCACTTTGCCTTTGTCATTCTTGGCACAACTGTAGAGTCTAAAAATTAAGATTCCATTTCTTTTATTCAAGTGTTTGGCTGTGCTACCGCACAGCAGCTGACATCAATCATGGCAAAAAGCGTCCTTAGTTAAAGGGAATATAGGCTGCATAAAGCTTGGGAAAAGGAATGCATGGACTGGAACAAAAAAAAACAAACAAAAAAAAACAACAAAAAAAAAAGATTCCTTTCCATTTCATATGCTTTCCAAAATGTAAATGGTATTTGGTACAAGAACTGTTTCTGTCTTTTCCTCTCACCAGCCCCATGCTCGTGTTCTTTCATGCACTTACATGAGTCTAAATTATTTTAATAGTTTTGTTAGCAAACAATTATTTAGTTTCCATGCACGCTACAGCTAAGGACCTGGATCAGGTTTGTCCCAGATTTCACATGTAATATTGGGCAACATGGGGTGCAGCTCCACCCCTCCTTCCCAAGGCAGACGAAGTATTAGACAATCTAGCAACCATTAGCTGACTCAAAACTTTCAGTAAGGGCTCTGGGAATCAAAAATGAATTGAAGTCAGTACTTCAAGGCGACCTCGGTCTCTTCCACAGAAGACATTTCCATTTATCCTCCCCATAATGCTCCCATGACAGCTTGTGTGGGAAGAACGGCAATATTTAACCAATTACCCAACACCGAGGGCTACCCTGAGGCAGCTGTGCCCAGAAGGCACCTAAGTGGAAAAGGGCTGATGACTTGAAGAAGCTCTGGACGTAGGACAACAGCATACAAGCCTGTGCTCCTGCCCAGAACAACAGCATAAAAGCCTGTGCTCCTGCCCGCGAGCCGCTCTCTCAGTGCCACCCTGGAGCATCGTGCTGCCCATGAGAGCTCCACAGGTAGCAGATCCAGACTTCCAATCCTGCGTTAAGCCATCCCTGCTCCCTCAAGACTTTTTGGCTAGTTCAGGCAGGTATTTTGTGAGCTCAAGAGCAGTAACTAAACACGCAGATGATCTCACTACAAGTACCAACAATTTTGACTTTTGAGTGCAGGTTTGTTGGCAGCTACATCTCTCTAATAGGAAAATCCTGACTGCTGCTAAGCTTGTCCCCCCAGTCAAGAACAGAGAACATGACTCAGGTAGCGTTCTCCTGAACGCCAGCAACAAGCCCCAGCAACTGCAAAGTCCTTTCC